GAATTGTAGACCTCAATCATATTACTTAAAACTTACCCATTTCTGAAATTTATAGTTAGCTATAAGATTAAGTTAACTATGAACTTTTTGGCATGGAAATATCAGGGTATCCATGAAATTTGTGTGATACTTTTTTTTTTTTTTTTATCGACACAGGGGTGTCCGGGTCAATTCTTACGGACCCGACTAACCCCCTGCGACCCGGGGATTAAAATTATACACGGAAGGATTTATCAACAACAATGAGAACAGTAAATTAAAATTGAAAAAGAACAAAAGAAAGCATGAAATATATGTTCCGATAGGATAAATAAAAAAGACTAATTAACCAAAGATCCAAATCAATCATTTGGCGTGTTTTTGAGCTTGCCAGCTCCCACATCCCGCTGCACTGGTGTCCTGTCCTAAAGTACGAATGTTTTATCCTCGATCCATCCATTGTGGTCAAAACTCGTAACTCGAATCTTGGGGCCCAAAAAAATAAATAAAAAAGAAGAAGAAGAAGAAGGAGATAAGAGTAGAGTTGGCACTTGGCAATTGGCATGCGGTGCTAGAACTGGATCAGGAGGGATATTAATGCGACTTCTTGTCCTTCATTGTTAAAACCATCTGCCAACAAAAGCAGGGTGTTTAGTGGGAAAAGAGAGTAGTAACTGTGAAGGAAGGAATTAAGGAGCAGAGTCAGATAATTAACTTGACCTATACATCTAGCTATCAAATTAAGTAACACTCCAGTAATATATTAATCGATTTGGTAGGGGATCCATTCCCAAGTTCCAAGACTCATCCACAGTGATGTGATGAGTTGAAATCATAATTATTAAGGGCATAAAAGCTGGGATTTGGCTCCTCTCCGTTAGATTTTCTCTGCATTTTCGGCTTCAATTGTCTCTGATCGCAGTGTGCTGACAAATTAACGAAACTAGATATTCACCAAAATACGACTTTTGTATGTTATGAAAGTGTCACTCCTAATTTAAGAAATATAATAGATGCAGACATTATGGGAATTTCCTTCCCTCGCTTTGCATATGTAACTTAGTTCCCGTTTGGACAGTCATTTTTCGTTGAAAAATTGCATCATTTTTCGTGATCACATTTCTCTATTATTTTTTTCCTTCACATACATCAAATCGCTACAGTAATTTTTCTATAAAAAATTCAAGAAAATACAATCCAAACAAGGCCGTTTTTTCAATATATAAGCCCTTTTATTAAAAAAAAAACACTATATATATCAAGGCAGAGTAGTAGGACGCAAGCCATTCGATGGGCACTATTAATCATGTTTCCTCAATTTTTTCCTTTTTTAAAATAGATTTAACTGCACGCATGTTGAAGAATATTTTGCGAGGAAAATTTGCAATTCCAGCACAACTCTAAGAAATGAAAACTTTAACCTGCTACTTTCAACTCCACTCAAACCCAGTGATCAATAGAGGGTTCTTAGAGTTTTCTCTACTTTCTTAGTGTACATGAATTCAATCAAGGCTTTTCTCAGTACTGTTGCTTGAGGGTACGAGTTAGAATTGAGCACTCATCATCAAGAGGAAGTTGAGTAAATAACCATATAAATATGTATCGACGAAATACATATCGTAAGTCATACTCATACCCCCTCAAAGCTGGAGATGTAGCAGTTCTGATGAAGGCTGGCATCATGCCATTAACTTGAGTAGAATTAAAGCGGAGGGCTTTGTAAATGAGAGTAGTGGAATATAATCAGCAGGGATGCGAAGGCACACTGCCTGAGTGTGTGTGGATCAGGTGGGGTTTTGGCATTTTTAGCCATTCGCTTGCAGGACTGCATTTGCTTGAGCGTGTGGATAATGTAAAGCTATATATAGACCTCCAGTCTAACTTCTGCTGTAAATCTCTATTTTCAGACTCGGACCGGACCGGCCGGTCGAACCGGTCGAACCGGAAACCGGCCAGGTAGCCGGTCCGAGTCACATTAGAAAACCGGAAATTTAAAATCCGGTCAAAGCCGGTCAAAAACCGGGTTTGACCGGGTTTGACCGGGAAAAAACCGGTTTTTCCGGTTCAACAGTAATTTTTTTTAAAAAAATTCAAACTTTTTAATATTATGTTTTGACCCCCTAAATTGTTAAAACTTATTGATATAGCTCAAATATTTGATACTTTATAAATATTGTCCTAAAATTTGATGTTATTTTTCAATTAAATTCATAATTTTAATTCTAAACTTGTTAATATTTATTAAATAATATAAATTGCTACTTGATTGTTCTAATTTCTTTGTATTTTCTTGTTAAATATATTTGAAACATCAAATATATATGAATATGCCTTTATTAATATCAATATATTATTAGATATTATATATATAATATTTTAATTTTTAAATAATTTTTATTTATGACGTCATCCGGTTCGACCCCTATCGACCCCCGGTCGAACCCATTGACCCCTGACCCCTGACCTCGGCCGAGTCGCTATCCGGTCCGATTCTGAAAACATAGCTGTAAATTGAATAACAAAAGAGGGGGATGGGGAGATGGTGGCGGGGGTTTTGATTTTATTGGGACAGTAAGCGGCTGAAAGGCATGCAGAACCTAGACTAGCAGCCAGCACTGGCCAGCAGGAGCCCTGCCCTATTCTTCCTCCTCTGATTTCAATACTACCGTCCCAGACAGCAGCACAGGACTCAAGCATACCACCAATCATCACCACCTTGCTTCAGGGACTCTAGCCCCGACCGCATACCTACGCGCGACCCTCTGCCCTCTCCCCTTTTTGTTCTTTTACTCGTACGTGCCATACTTCTTCTTATAATAAGGCTTTCACGCCAAACTCAACATATCCACTCTTTCCAAGCGCCAGCCCTTTCTTTTTTCAATTTGTGTGGTCTATAATATGTTCCGATCACCGCATAGATTAGATAAAAAATAATATCATGTTTTAAATACACACGACAATTGTATAAGCACGGCGGAATAGATAGGACAGAAAGAAGTAATTCCGGGTCGGAGGATTTTAAGCTACAAGCAATATGCACGCAGGTTGCAGTCGCGTAACGTGAGGGATATAGATACAGTATTGGTGTAGTAAATGGAGGAAGAGGCTCTGCACCGTGCCTGTGCAGCCATTGCCAGTCGCCATGATTGCTTGCTTGCAATCAGAATATAGGATTGTACGCAGGTAGGGCAATAAATAAGAGCCTACATACATATAGCCAAGCCAATGCCCGCTCAATCAGTGGAAAACAACGAAACAAGACTTGCTTATTCCACTCTTTATTTATTTATTTTTGTTTTGTGATTGGCTTGTCTCTGTCTCTGTCTCTCGAGCGAGCTAACAAATCAGATTTTTTTGAGATGCGGTGGCTCTAAACAATCAATTATTTCTGTCCATTTTTCCTGTTCAATATAAAACTGTGTAATTCTACTTACTAATATTGCTGATGTGACACATAACATTAAATGTATATTTAGGAGGTGTTTGGTAAATGGGTTTTAAATTTCAATTTTAGTATAGACGGCATATTTTCTGAATCAATACAATTGCACGTAACTACAACTCTGATAAACTCAAGGATCTCGTCCTCAAATGCTTGCCTAATTTCATCTAAATCAAGCGGCATGAAATTCTAAAGTAGAAGACTATGGGTACAATTAAGATATTATTGAATTTGAAACTCATTTACCAAACACACCCTAAATATGCACTCAATGTTACGTGCCACATCGTAGTATTAATAAATAGAACTACGTAATTTTGCGTTGAACAAATATAATTAACAGAGGATCTCGTCCAGTTTATATGGTTACAAGTTAAGCAGTCTAAAACAAATTGCTTTTGTGAAATCGGCCCCCTCTAGCATTTTCACCACTCAAGCTCCAATTAAACATGCAAGAAAGAAAAATGTATGTGGAGAGGATGGATTTATTAATTTAACCTCCTCTAAATAAAGTGGCTGAAATCCTATCGTTTCGACAAAAACAAAAAAAAAATAAAGTGGCTGAAGCAACATTCGTACCCTTTTGATCTGTGGAAAATTTATGAGCAGAGGCTTCTGGTAGTGCCTAGAAATGGGAACGAATTAATTTACTGTGTAATAATAATATTTGTATGGTGGCATATGACAAGGCACAGAAGAATGCTTTATGATATATTGAATTAAATGTGGAGTGGTAAAGAACACGTGGAATGACGGGGTTTGAAGAAGGAAATGCTCCGGCTATCGAGTATATGTCGACTCACCCAATCGCATTTATCAATAATCAATGTACCAGAAAAAAAAGAAAGAAAGAAAGAAAGAACGTCACACACTCCTCTTTTTCCTAGTATTATGTAGTGCTCCTTTTTGTCCTCATTTTGATCCTTCTATTATGGTACTTCTTCTTCTATCATGCTTGTTTATCCTAAGAGAAAAATGGTTGAAAAGCCTCCTCACATTTTACTAAATAAAATTTTTTTATCATTCATCTCTATAATATTAATTTTATACCTCTCACAAATTTACATCAGTAAAATTTGATCGTAACCTAATTTGTTTGCTGCTTCTTTGTCTGAAATCATCACATGGCTTACATACACTCATTTTTTATGTACAAAAATGGCACATCCAACTTTTCTGGTGGTAAAAATGAATATGAATTGGGTGAATAAGGTTGGGTTAAATTATACCTTTTTTAAAGACAAAAATGATAATCGATACCATCACTTATTTAATTACAGATGATATTTAATCTCTTTGCTCCTTTAAAAAAATCACCATGTATGAGTTACGTGATATATTCGAAGAAAAATGTGGTTAAAAGCTTGGCTAAGTCCAAATTTTATGGATTTAATTTTGTGATGAACATGAAGTTATCATTTAAAAAGACGGAAAAATTCATTTGGCACGAGGGCTATGGGTGTTTTGAAAGATTTTTACTAAATTAAACAATAATAAAATTCTTCCTCAAGCCTCAGGACTCCATCTTCTATATAATTCGCGTCCGAACCTTTTCATGTCAAGTGGTAGGCAACAGAGGAGAGAGCCCGGTTGACAAAAAATATATGCTACAAAGTACAGAGCTCTTTTAATTTTTTGTTCTTCATATCTTTGCCGCTTTATCATCGCCCAATCACGAAACAACAGAAGCAGATTTTTGCCCAGGAAACTATAAAAGCAAGCGCGCGCGCTCTCTCTCTCTCTCTCTCTGTGACTGGAAAATGAAGGAGACGATGGAACAAAAAGTTGTTGCCAGATCAAGGTTCAAGAGAGTATGTGTGTTTTGTGGGAGCAGTTCTGGGAAGAGAGAATGCTATAGAGATGCCGCACTTGAGTTGGGCCAGGAGCTGGTATGTACCATGTAGCACTACTACTTATACTCTGTCTTTTTTACCCCCCTTTTTTTTTGTAAAAAAAAAAATAACTTTCCTATCCCAACAATCTTGGAGCGCAGAGGAGGCAGACGACGATAGTCAGTTGTTATCCTTATTAGCACTGTACTAGTTATGTTTAGATAATTTTTCATTGTTGTTAGTATATGTGTGCGATTGATTGTAATGGGGCTCCGGGCCCTTTTTCTTCTCTTTTGTGTGTGCGTTTGGGTGGGGCGTTTTTGCATGAAGGTGGCAAGAAAAATGGACCTTGTATATGGCGGGGGAAGCATTGGGTTAATGGGTTTGGTTTCACAAGCTGTTCACAATGGAGGCGGCCACGTTCTCGGGTATGTACTATGGTACAGTGACAGCATTCTTCTTTCGTTTCTAGCTAGAAGACTAATAAAACTTTTGCAAATGAATACTTGCTCCGCAGGATCATACCCAAACCCCTGATGGGCAAAGAGGTATTTAGATCCCTTCATTCTTGGATTCTTTTGTTTTTTGTTTTTCGTTGGAAAGCCTTGATCTTTGATAAAATGCAACAATTGCATTCCGCAGATTTTTCATTTTCTTTTGGTTATGATCCTGATCTTGGGTTAACAACGCAGAAAACTGGGGAAACAATTGGAGAAGTGAGACCGGTGGCTGGTATGCATCAGAGAAAGGCTGAGATGGCCCGCCATTCTGAATGCTTCATAGCCTTACCAGGTTCCGCATTTATGTTGTTGCCATTTATGTTCTTGGGGCTGTCTCTGATTTCATCCATCCTCTCCTCTGTTTAGTTTATGGAACTTTAATTTTACTTTGGAATATAACTCCCAAATTTCATACACCGTTGTATATATGCTCAACGCTTATTGCTGTTAATCTGATCAGCTGAATTTCATCATCCACAGGCTGGGTATTTGATTGACTGAGTTTTGTGGCGGTTTTTTTTGGCTTTCAGGTGGGTACGGCACTCTGGAAGAGCTATTGGAAGTCATCACATGGGCACAGTTGGGTATTCATGATAAGCCGGTAATCTACAATTGATGATTCAATTCTTTCTGAGTTTACAATGCTAAACTGAAGAAATAGAAATATGTCGATGTGTATTTGTCGATGTTTTTCAGGTGGGATTACTAAATGTTGATGGTTATTACGACTTCCTCCTCACCTTCATTGATAAAGCCGTGGATGATGGCTTCATCAAGCCTTCTCAGCGTCATATCTTCGTCTCCGCCCCTAACGCCAAAGACTTGGTTCAGAAACTGGAGGTGCGTGCCGACCTGTGTTCCCCTCCCCTTTTTTTCACTTTTCTTTTTTGCTGAGCGAAATATTTCACCAATGCACAGAAGTCAATGAAGCAATAAGAATCTTCGAACAGTTTCTCTTCTCTTCTATGGATAAACTACTATATTTGCTATCTTTTTTTTTTGGTTCCTTTTTCCTTTTGTGGGGGTGGGGGAAGAGGGTTGCAGGGGATTTGCAGGATGCGTTGGCATGTTCTGGTGATTTGATAAAGCTGGTAATTGCTTTCTTTTTGGGGTGCTATAGGAATACGTGCCAGTGCACGATGAAAGCATTGCTAAGGTGAAGTGGGAGGGAGAACAGCAGCAGCAGCAGCAGCAGCAATAACAGCAGCAGCAGCCATCAAACCCGCAAGTGCCAAGTGGGGTTCAATGTTTTGCAGGATAAGAAATTGATTGTTCTCAGGAAGGGAGACAGGTTTGTAGATAAGGGTAAAAAAAAAGAAAGCAAAAAAACAGAAAACAAAAACAAAACAAAAGAGGGAGTGGTGTCTTGGGATCACTTCTTTTTGTCTGATTTTGGTATATAATTGACTGATTAGTGGGCCTGCTCCCCAAAGAGAGCTGAAGGGTAGCTGTGGTTGGTTTTGTGGAGTGGAGATGCCTCCAACCTGATCTTCTTGCCGGACAGGACAAAGAGGGTTTTGAAAGAATTTGCTAGTTTCTTTCTTGTCCTTCTTTGGTGTGGAAAATATGCTTCTGTATGTATTGCCATCTAAATTTTGAATGCGTCCGTAGCTATATATCTAACAAGATGGGATGATTTTATTATTATTATTGTGGTCTATGGATGGAAGGAGCAAAGTTATATTCTACTCCTTAGCACTTATTTACTAGTACTAAATGAATGGACAGCCATTTTCCCAACTGCGATGTCTCGAGCCTTCAGGCGGGATAGCTCAGTGATAGCCTCATTTCATTGGATCTTTATCCAGAGGTCATCGTTTTGAGTCTTGCCCATTACTGTGTAGTGCATCTTTGGGGCGAGTTCTGCGACATTAACTCATTTTAGTCTATACCCGATTTCATCTCTGCCATTGGGCTTCAATTTAGTGTAGCAGTCAGGCGTGGTTTTTTTTTTTTTTTTTTTTTTTTTTTATTATTTGGTTGTTCCTTGTCTAAGAAAACAAAAAAGAAAGGAGAAAAGGAAAAGTTGTTTGACCTATTTGATCGCAGAACCTTTTAGCATGTGTTTTCCAGAAAGTCTCTTGCAAAATAGTACGTTGAAATGAAATCATGCACTATGATTGTCCTAAGATCCAAAATGAAATCACGTACTATGATTTCCCTAAGATCTGTTTGGATCGATGGATTTGACATGGATGTATTTGAAATTTATATCTATATAAATTTGAGGAGTGGCTTTCTGTACGGTTAAGTCAGACTGCTTTCAACTCTTTTATAGCATTTTGATTTTTTTAAAATTCTTATATATCCTTTCATGCCCCCCTTTGAATTCAAATAGTTAGCAGTGGATTTACTTATATAGAAATTTGGTTTGAAATCTATTAATGTGAGAAAAAATAAAGAGGAAACATCATCAAACCTACTAAAAGTTAATAGTTTGGATAGCAAATTATTTTAAATAATATTTCACTTATATCATAAATACATTTTTCATCACACCTTTTTATCTCACATACAACACATCACAAAAAATGCTACAGTAATTATTCCAAATAATACTCTATTCAAACACACTCAACGAGCAAATTAAAAAACCTAAAGTTTACCTTCTTAGTAATAAAGGGAAATAATATTCATTGGTTATGGATTTAAAAAATCAAGAGTGGTACCATTCATAAAACCTAAATTATGCAATCACTAACTAAAAAATAAAGTACTACTAGCCTTTAGATATGGAAATTTTTATTTGAAATCTTTGTTTATGATGAAAAATACTAATAAAAACAACACCAATTCAACCCAAAATTTAAAAAAAAATAACAATACAGTTTAAGGGAAAAATATATACGATTTGACCCTAAACTATATCTACTTAATATGTGTATGTCTGATCCAATTTTGACCCTAATTAAATTTGAACAAGATTACAAAGCCCAAACGCTAAGAATAGCCTTGAGTATTATTGATTATTTTATGTATTCTTATCACTTTCTTTATATGTAAATTTTTAACTACTATGCCATTTTTTTATATAGATTTTTTTGTAGTAGTTAGGGGTATTATAAGATATTATTAGTTTTTTATTTGCATTTTCAGATACCGATACTATATTGTAAGACTGTTAAACCAAATTGCAGGTTATGATTTTCTTTTTCTTCAAAATTTATCTATTCAATTTTATTTTGAAAGTACAAATATAAGTATATTTTAAGTGTAAAACCAAATTGCAAGTTATGGGAATTTTTTCTTTTACTTTAAGTTTTAACTGTTCAATTTGAGGGTTGAATGTGGATTCAACTTCTCCTTTGAAAATTTAAAATTATTCAGTTCAAAAATAATATAAAAAAATAACTGAATTCTCCTTTGAAAATTTAATTTTTCTATACTTTTGTATTGAATTCTCATTTTTATATTTTACTCGCCAAATTCACTTTATAATGGTGTAATATTGACAATATGTTAAGTTATATTATGAATAAAAGTTGGAAAAATTAAGAGTCTTCGACTAATAGATGAGAGAAGTGCCGATCGCAATTACTACAAAAAAGAAAATCCCAACATACATAGAGCATATTATATACACATGTATATATGTAATTCTTATAAGTATATAAGAGAATACTATAGATTTTTTACAGTATAATATATATCGAATGAAAAATTATGATATTACTTTATTCTAATTGGACAGGTAAAAGAAAAAGGGAGAAGTAGGGGAAAGGGAAATGGAGGAGGTTGGGGAGCTATCCAAGTGTTTGGAAGAATGATGAGGGGAAAGAGATAGGAAATTGAGTGGCAAGAATAGGAAGCTAGAGGTATGGGGAAAAGAATGGTGAGGAGTTAAAGTGTGGTAAAAAAAGTCGAAAAGGAAAGTGAACAACAAAATTGTGCGAAAAAGGGAGGGAAGAAAGCAAGGAATTGTGGGAATATAATGAAGGTGACCAAAAATGACAAGAAGGATGCCATCGTGGTAACTTTTGTTTTGAATATATAATAAGTAGTAGTAAATAGGAGCTTGTTCATGATTTTTTATACTTGGTACAGACTATGAGGACACTCGGTTGGAATAAGCCACAGCGGAATACTTCAAGGCCGTTCTTATTCATTACAAAATGCGATTCTTTGGAAGTTAATCTATCGGGAATGTGGGGGATTTCAGGGGGGCCAATACCCAAAAAAAAAAAAAAAACCATAAAGATCGACAAAAACAATAATAAAGCTAATAAAGTAAAACACAAAATTTGTCATGTGCAGATAGGATTGCAAATAAATCGAGTTTTGATTTAATCGAATCGAGTTTTGAGTTAATTTTATCAAACTCAAGCTTGACGAGCTTTCAATATAAATGTTAAGTTTGAGTTCAACTCAAATTTGAGTCATATCAAGATCAAGTTCAAACTTAAAAAAATAAAAAATAATTATTTTATTTTTAAAAAAATAAATGAAATAATAATTTTTCTTCACAAATAATAAAATATTAGAGATATATATGTAATTTTAATATTAAATATATATATATATATATATAATCGAGTTAGCTCACGAACTAACAAATTGAGTATTTTTTAATTCAAATTTGACTTGATCAGGTCAAATCAAGTTTTGACTCGAACTACTCGCAAACCACTTGACTTGTGTACAGCCCTAAGATTAGGGCACGAACGAGTAGAGGATAGTAGGAGCTGGGCTTGGTCAAAGTTTTGGCCTATTTCCCTGCCCTTTTGCGCCCCCATGTTTGGATTGTGGTTTTGTGAAAAATTTTTACGTGAATACATTTTTTCAATCACATCTTTATTTCACGTATATCAAATTGATATAGTATATTTTTCTACAAAAATTTCTAAAATAGCAATCCAAACGGGCGTGGCCTACAAACTATACAAATGGTGTCTCGCAAAACAGTTCCCCAGCTTGAGTTGTCAATAATAATAATATAAAACCCGGCTGACTCATTTCCACTGCTACTTACTGTAATTTCAACTTAGAAAGGAAGTAAAAAGTGACAAAGAAAAAGGAAAAGAAAAGAGGGGTCCTTACCAATGGGATGCAAGTGTTTACTTTGAACTAATACGACTCTCGCAAGTAGATTACTCGAGCAGAAGCTCCTGCGATGTGCAGTTTTCAGGAAAAAGTCCTTGACGAACAGAAATATGAAATAAAGCAGAACATGCCATGAAAAAATTTTTGGTTAGCTGTTGTACTAGTAGTGTAGTGCATGGCTGCATGCCCAATTCCTCAATGAATATACATACAGGGTTCTTGGTTCACAGGCAAATTTGTCTTCTCACTTCTCATGGCTTGCTGTATATATGTCGAGGACAACTCAAAGCCTCAACTGAATTTTGACATAGAAACTTGTGAGCAGTGAAGGGTGTATTTTCTATAAGATAGCATGGCTCATGTAATTAGCTTTGGCCAGCATTGCTGAGTACACGGTCCCAACTCCCAAGTGGGAGATTTTTTTTTTTTTTTTTTTTTTGTGGTTAGAATGTCTATTTTGAATTTTCGTGAATATTTGCAGCAACTGCTATGCGAATACTAATATATGGGGATAATTTCAGAACCCTTGTCTTAGGTTTCTGATAATGTTACCGGCCTCCTCTTAACTTTTAAAAATATCATCTACCTCCCCTAATTCCTACTTTCGTGTAACATTTCAACCCTTGTCATAAAAAGTAAAGGGAAATTTTTTTTTAAAAAAAACAAGTGTTAAGAAAGAGGAAATCTTTTTATGCTACAAGCGCCCTTCTATAGCCCAATTTTTTGTTTTTTTTTTACCAGTAACGATAATAGTTTATATAACTTATTTTATTCTAATCTAGTGACAGGGGGAAGTCACAACTAGTGGCTGGTGGGAGGTCAAGGGTTCACCAAGACTTTTAAAGACGTTTTGGTGACCGAGAGCCTCTTGGATTGTTGGCTTCTATAGTCCTACTTAGAGGAGTAATTTTGTGCAACTACCGAATGAAAATTTCAAAGCAACATCACGAGAACTCACTCAACAATGCCACAGGACTGGACTTAAAAGGGGGATACATGCAATCATTTTCAAGTTACGGAAAAGGAAGGTGAGTAGAGATGGTAGTAACCAGCTAAAATTGGAGGGCATAACTTGGAAAGGACCGGCCGTGACAACGGTCGAGTGAGTCCTTTTCCTGTTAGTTACGGAACTTTTAGTTTAGCCAATTATCAAAATGCATATGAACGAGGTTTTGTGCAATTAAAGCAACTTGCGAGTCTTTCCCGTATCTAAGTACTGCAGCACATCGTTCATTTGTAGAGGACACACCATAAATAGTACTATTTTTCTTTTACCGTGCCAGTAACATTCCTGTAACTTAATCTATCCTAATTTAGTGAAAGAAGAACCGATGCGAGTAGAAATTCCATCGGAGAAAGCTACTAAAAACAGCAAACTTTGTACAAAATCTAATCGATTGTAGATTCTATCGTTGATACAGATTTTATGAAATAGAACTATTACGTGTATATCTTTTTTATTTTTGAACCACAATGTGCAAATTTAAAGGATTGCGACGTCATTCCTCTCTTTTGGTGGAGAAAATGATGGCAATTACATTTGAAAATTCAAGGAAATTTCCCCTCTTTCTTTTCTTTTGTATACTAGTAAAACAAATTGAGTTCTT